TTTTGATTATCGAATTTACAATCAACATCAATGCTTGACCTACAAAATAGTTTAAATTTATCGTTCAGGAGACACGTGGAAGTAATGTAGGTATGTTCTAGAAAATCTGTATCATAAATTGTAGGGTTTTGTCCAAGAAACATTTTATCCGCTTTGCAAGAAGGATACGTGGATAAGCACCCCAGAAGCGTTTATTGGAAAGTCATTTGTAGCATCTGTTTGTGTTAACATCAAAATAAAGACATTTTCAACTGAACGAAAGTCATTAAATGTCGCTTATCGACGCACTATTCCGAGAAATGTGAAAATAATGAAGTAATTTTTCTGTATAAAATACCGGACCAAGACCCCAAAAGGGACAGTTGTCCAGCTACTTTCAACCAAGAAGCCCAGCTAAAAATCAAATAATAAAAAAAACTAAAGCTATCAGAATGAAAATATTCGAGCTTTTAAAAAAGTATTTACGTTTCTTAGGGTGTACACGTCAAAGTTCAGATTTATACGAGAAACTCGTCGGAATCGCTGTTAACGGTGCAATTTTGGGAGTTTCCCTCATTTATTTTCTGACGACATTATGGTTTTTTGCCTTTGACGCTGAAACGTTCCCGGAATATTCAGAGAGTTTACCTTATGTTCTGGGTTCACTGTTAACAGTAGTGTGGTATGTAACCTTGGTTTGGCAGAAACACGAATATGGAAGCCTTTTTGATAAGTTCGACGAAATTATCGAAACAAGTGAGTAAAATGCTATGAAACTCTTAAAATTAGGCAAATTAAACTATTCAATCATTATTGAAGAATGAAACCATAACTATTAGTTATTAACTAATGATAAATTGTCCAAATTGTTATTTGCTTACATGAAAAAGGAAGTTCAAATACTGTGCTGAATACAATTTATCGGAAAACCATTAACAAAATCGAACAACTATCGGAAATGGTGCACTTCGTAGTTATGCATGTCCAAGTTCCGTTTTACATAGTTTCCAATATTGTCATGAGCACCTACGAATACATTTCTTCGGACTATTCCAACGAATCATTCCGCTTAATGTATCCTGCAGCGTAAGCTATTTTAAATCGAAAAATTATTAGTATATGAAATCGGAAAATGAAAATTGAACTTCAACCCACGTTGATATATTCAAGATATCCTTTTGACTGGAAAACACCGGCCGGATATTTGGCAAGCTGTTGCATCCAAATCACGGTTTCATTTTCTACGGCTGCACTGTTTATTTGCACATTGATTTTGACCGTGGGAGTTTGCTTGTTTGCAATTGATTTTGTGTGCGACATTGAAGAGAACCTGCGACAGCTGAATGATTATCTAATTACGACCAAGGATCAAGATCTGACTGGGAAAGATCGACTCAACGTCAAAAAGCGACTCACCGATATCATGATATTTCATTCAGAGGCGAAAGAGTTGAGTGATAAATTTTAATTTTATTCAGAGGCTCTGATTCTGTTAGATGAACTTCAATTAATCTTTTCAACTAAAATCTTCTTATCTTCATTCAGGTTCACAAACAAGTTCGGTCGCATCAACCAGGGCATTATCTGTTCGTTTCTAATATTCACATTTGTGTCAATTTGCAGCTTAATGTTGCAAATCAACATGGTAAATATTATGAGTCAGGATATCGTTGGTGTTTTCATTTTAAATGTCTTCATTTGTTTTGTTCACAGTTGCTTCAAAATGGTGATTTCATTGGAATTCTTCGAGTATCTGTGCCAGCATCGATTATCATATTTTGGCTTTCCTTGTTTTGCTACTTCGGGGATCGAATGACTCAACGCTTCGAAGAGGTTGCAGACAAATTGTATCAGATTCAATGGTATCGACTCTCATCGGCTGAACAAAAGTATTTAATTGTGGCGATTGCAGTTGCTCAAAAGGGTGCCCATCTTCAAGGATTTGGTACCTTAAGTTGCACGCGTGCGGTTCTCTATCAGGTTTGTAAGACATTTTTTGATTAATATTCTGTTCCATTTATCATTTAACTTCAGAAACTTCGTTCTTTGCGCTTGACTTTCCATACTTTCAGATCATAAACACCACATTCTCCTACTTTTTGGTGCTACGTGAATTTGCTTAATTGGACGCTATCGAACCAAAGGAAACATGAATGGAAATTTTTATGTTCACGCAACTCTGATAATTCTTTAACTTATGTATGCACATTGCACAATGCTTAGCATGTCACATCAAAAATAATCTTTACTACTTTTAATCCTACTCTTGCTTGTTGAATATTTCACATATATTATTGTTTAATTGAACACAAATGTAATAAAAAAACAAAAAATTAAATAAAAAAATAACTCACACTCAGCCCAAAATATGTTGTTTTGTGAAGAAGAACATTCGTTAACTAAAGACTACAATTCACAACGCAAACCAGACACTAACATGACTACCATTTCGATTGTAACTCTAATATCTGCCACATCAACCATAAAACTGTATTTCACCATACAAAATTGATACGAGAATTACCTTTTTCCAGTCAATGACAGATAGCTGAGGATATATGCTGAGCATAGGAACTCAGCAAGCTGAGATTGAGACGTTTGGATTTTGTGATTTACTATTCGTGCAAATTTATGTGGAATTTTGGTGGAGTGTTGATGGAGTGTAATGAAAAATGTGTTCCAAACTCACCTCCATCATAAATTTGTTTGAATAGCACGTAACAAAGTCAAAATATCCCAATCTCAGCTTGCTGAGTTTCTATGCTCAGCATATATCCTCAGCTATCTGTCATTGACTGCCTTTTTCCCCATCCAACTTCCTTCAGATTCGGCGATAGACCTGCTTCAGCTAAAATGATCATTCGTTCAAATATTTTGTGACGAATTTCAATTCGTGAGAAACTTTTCAAGGCTTTGCCCTTTGATTTTTTTCAAATTTATAGACATTTTCCTATGACCATTTAAAGTTCAACTTTTTTCGAAAATCTTATTTTATTCAATTTTTTACAATTAATATTTTCAAGGCATATTTGGCATCCAGTTGATCAATGATCTCTTTAGCAGTAACAATGAATTCATGGGCATTCTAATACCAAATTTTTCGTTTAAAAGAATGACATGTTCAACTAATTGTCTAACAAATGTCTTTCATGACTAATGGAATAAATGAATGCTCTGACTAAAACGTATTCAATGCATGTGTGCCATGGGTAAAGAAACGCATGCAAAATAGTTTGGAAAAGCATCTAAACGTAAGTTCAATTTTTTAGACTGAAATGATTAGTCTGAAAATTCGATTAAGATTTTCTTTGAAAGAACATCTAAACTGAGTTTACTGCAAACAACATCTCTTTTACGCTAACAGCAATTCGTACACGAACGAGTGAGTGTGACAGTTGGTGTGATCGAGACAAAGTTTGACAGCAAACAATTTGGTTGTGTCAGTTTAAATGTTCTTTCGTTTTTAAACTTTTTTATCATTAGAAAAAATTCTTCAGAACTGGAAGACCGTCTCCAGACGTGTCTTATCAATAAAATGGTAAAATATCACTTTCTTCGCTACTCAAATCAATGCAAATAAGGCAAAATGCTTGGTTCACGAATGCCAAGCTTTTTCTTAAGCTCAATGATTTCGTATTTCATGCGAAAATATTCCAAGGCGTATGGATCTTGTTCGAGAAGCGAACATAGCCCATTTTCCAAATCAGCGAACGGTTCGGTTAATCGGTTGAATAAATTGTCACCGCCTTGCAAACCCAGTAAATAGTTTTCTTCGAGAACGTTTTTCATGTCGTTGTATGCTTGATCAAAGCGTCGATCAATGCGAGCTTTCATAGCATTGGTGGCCGCTTCCATTCTGGCTGCCATTCTGGAACGGGTACTGTTGATTTCCTGATCGACCATGCTGCTTAGCATGTTTCGAAGACCATTGGTACCTGTTGCGGCGGCCGCACCAACTGGAACTCTATATCCAACTGCTGCAGCATTTTCCGATCGAGCCAATGTTGGTGGCGATGATGTGTTGGTATCTGGAAATCAAAAGAAACAAATCATTGCAAACAGAATGCCCAATGAATTGATTTTAATTGTCTCACCTGTTAAATTCGATGAAAACATCTCGAAAAATGTGCTTCGACGTTTTCTCCCTTTGGATACATTGTTGTCATGCTCGCCGAGTGGTCTCTTGACCTCCAATTGACTAGTTGTAGCATCAGTCTCTGTTGTTTCTTCTTGTATTTTCTGCAAATCACCAAAATTATCTCGATCCGGCAATTGAACGCGTTTTACGTGTTGTGACTTAGAATCCTTTGGCTCATCGAAATCGGTGACCTTTATCTCGATATCAGTTTCGTTTTGTTCGACGGATGTAACGTTGCTGAGAACAGATTGATCCAATGGTGTTCGCGATAGACGCTTCAAACGAAGTTCCGAACGATTTTCAACACCCATTGACATTCGAGATGGCGTTTCAGCCATTGAATCCATTGAAAAATCGTGAATTTTCCGCACAGGCATGAGATCGGCCCAACTGTCACGACGTTTCGGTGTCGCTGAATCTGTTGCCGCCAAATTGTTGTAATGACATAGATCTACGAACTTGGCAAATGACTCTCCACCACTGGCTTGAGGCGTGGAAAAAGCCATCGATCCAGTTGCTTCTAAACTCGTTGCACTCATTGTCTGATCGAGTGTTATATTCGAAGTGGTAGTTACGCTGGATACAAATGCCACTCGAACTACGGCACTGTCGTGTAATCGCTTTGTATCCAGTGGTTCTTTCATGCTACGAAAATCGTATGAGATAACATCTCCCTTGAGATTTCCAGCCACACAGAATGTGCCGCATGATGACACGCACACAGTTGACATGGGATGTGGCTGCTTGTGCTGTTGCACCACTGTCCTTTTACGCAAATCAAAGACATTTATGTTGCAATCGTAGCCACATGAAACCAGCAAATCTTGCGATGAAGCGAACATTGAGATGTCTCTGATTGGTGCGGCATGAGCCGTTTTATCGAAAAACAGCTTCTTCTTCGTTTGAATGTCCAGCATTGTGAGGGCGCCTTCATACGAACCAATGGCCAATGCAAACTTTTTGGTCGGATGGAATCGAACTAATGTCGAACTGTGAACAGAAGAAAAGTTGAGTTCATTTTCCATTATCAATTCTTGAAAATTTCGATATACTCACATGCCGGCCAAACGGAATGTATCTGTTTTGATGCCGGTTTTCAAGCCAAACAAATTGACATCAGCGCTGTCATAAACGGCCGCCAAATATTCATCGGTGCTCGAATAGTCAAGGCCAACAACACTGTTTCCCATTCGATCCGGTTTGAATTTGATCGGCACATATTCGCCGCTTTGCACATTGAAGAGCCGAATGAATCCAGTCGTCATGCCAATGCCAATCTGTCCGCCACTGCTTGCAATCGCACCACATGATATGTCGTCGACCTGTCGCTTCTTGATGCGTTGTATCACCTCTTTGTTGTCCTTGTCTCTAGTTCGTAGTAGCTCGAAACCAAATTTTTTGTTAAATTCCACAAAGCAATTTTTGCCTGGGATCACTTGAAAATCGACCGCTTCGTTTGCAACATGCGAATGTGTGTACTTCGAACCAAGAGTGGGAAACGTTATCCACTGTGTGTTCTTTGCTGTCGAAATGACATCAAACATTTTGGTTCTGTTGTGATGATTTTATTTTTCTAACCAAACTAATATTCTAAAATGCAGCGACCGATTTTATTAACGGGAAATAATAGCACAAATAAAACAAAAACTGCACAAAAAACAACTCAAAAAATAGATTCTGAGTATCAAAACTACAAGCAAATAGATCGGAATTTTTCTGATGTGTGTAAACGGTAGAATGTACGCTTTTTGCCTTTGAAAATCCAATTGAACAAATGTCTCTCACTCGGTTTGACGTTTCGGTCTTTGTGGTGAATTCTGATTCGGTTTTGATGAGAACACACCATTTCACCACACCTCGAGTTTGAAAGACGCAAATTGTCAGTTGATCAAACAATTGTGTTTTTGATTTGATTAATTTCAGAAATGCAACATGGATTTTACATTTTATTTTTCGAAAAATCCATTTTTGTAAATATAATTTGAATGAAAAATGACAAAAGCCACTGTTGGGTGGTCTTTGGTTTTTCGCACCAGCTAAGCTATTGTATAAACTGTCACTTTCTGCCCTTACGATTCTGCTGTAACATTGAAATAATATCAATGATACAAAAATGACAAGGAGGAATTGAACGGGAAAATGTAGACTGGGAACGAGGAATATCGTTCAAAGTAACACTTGAATTTGCATTGAAAAACACAAACATTCCTTTCTAAAACGCCAAAGTTAGATTTATCTCAAATAATGAACAATGAAGCATAGACCTAGAAAGAAAGTCAAAAGGGGGAAAGACACAAAATACAAGCATTTTATCATTTCTTTGCTTCGTTTTGAAGCAGCAATTTCGATTTTTCTCTAAATCTAATACAATTCGTACTAAATGGGTATGAAGTGAAAGTGGGATCGATAAAATTCAAAGACTAAAGCCAAATGTATTACTTTCCAGAAGATTCGAATCAAAAACTCAATGTAGAGACCCAAATCTGAAAAACAACGGCACATTATCGTTCGATACACAAATCATAAATCGATCCAACTACTTCCAAAATAGTATGTCGACCAATTGCATTCAGATGAGATTATGATGACTTCTTTGAATTGGAAATTAGATTTGATTATCGAATTTACAATCAACATCAATGTAGTTATAACAAAATAGTTTAAATTTATCGGCCAGGAGACACACGTAAGCAATATAGGTAAGCTGAATCATAAATTGTAGAGATTCACACTAGAAACATTTTATCCGCTTTGTAAATAGGATACGTGGATTAGCACCCCAGAAGCATTTATTGGAAAGTCATTTGTTGCATCTGTTTGTGTTTACATCAAAATAAAGACATTTTCAACTGAACGAAAGTCTTAAATGTCGCTTATCGCCGAGGGATGCGCCTATCTGTGTAATTTGTTGTTGTAATTTGATAGTTCGAACTCCCACCGCTTACGTGTACAATGCAAATAAAATATATTTCAGTGTAGCGCTAGTAGCATGTAGTTTGCCTTAGACGCAGCTCTCGCTTATCGCCGCACTATTTCGAGAAATGTGAAAATAATGACGCAATGCTTCTGTATAAATACCATGCCAAGACTACAAGTTGTTCGGATCTTTGACGAGAACAGAAGATGAACGGGTCAGAAAAGAATGGAAACAAGTCAAACTACATTGATGCCGAAGACGAAATACCAAAAATATCCCCCGAAGAACGAACTGATTGGTATTTCTTATTATGAAAATTCTGAGTTGATTATTTACGATCCATGTTCATGTCAAACGTCCATAACTTCGAACGTTTAACATAGAGTTGTACAGCCTGACGAATTCATATGTTCATGACGTGATCGAGGAAATCTGTGCCAATCTCTTTCCCGATACGTGCATACAAGAAAAAAATAATGAATTTTAAAACATTAAAATAGAAAACTACATTTGTCAAGATCTCAAAAAAGGATATGAAATGATGCAAATGGTGGTAACCAACGATAAAAATTATACAACTTTCAGAATAGAATTGAAACTATGAAAACTACAAGGTTAATCGATTAAAGTAAAATGTATCTTGATGTCTACGTGAAGTTTTCAAATGTTTTGCAAGAACAGAACAATTATTATTATTGCTTTTAGGGCATTTCATTTCTTACGTGGATTCGATCCAAAGCTTTTTTTAATATCGATATCGTTCGACAAACAAAACACCACAAAACACAAATAGCACCAATAATTTTGACAAAATGCATTCAGATGAGATTTTGATGACTTCTTTGAATTGGAAATGAGTTTTGATTATCGAATTTACAATCAACATCAATGCTTGACCTACAAAATAGTTTAAATTTATCGTTCAGGAGACACGTGGAAGTA